AGCATCCTCAAAATCCTCACCAGCAGTCAACATTGCCTAACTCTTCCTTCCATTCGCACCCATCTTCAGCTCCTTCATCCCATACAAGTTCATCCCTACTTGATGCTGTTATTCGCAGTGGCATAGGCAGTGTCTCAGGAAACGGGGCGGAATTTACCTCTCGCCTTGCTTTTTGCCCGTCTGAATTGGCCTTTCGTGGCGTCCAAATGTCCTCCTTTCAGCATACTTCTAGTCGAGATTCTTTTGAGACAATTTCTCAGACTCTTTCGTTGCCACTGCTCCCATCCAATGGACCTGATACTGACAGCAGCAGCAGCGTCACAACCAATCGTCTCGCCGATGTCATTGCCACACCTACTAATGGTGATTATTTGGCGCCTGCAAACTTTAGGCCTCTCCCTGCACCTGTTTCCTTCAGGCCCGTCCGAGATTCGCATCTTCGTGGGGCTCGTCTTCTCACTGCTGATGCTCCACCTGCTTGCCGAGCCTCATCTGGTCTGGGTCAGTTTCTTTTGGGAATGAAGCTCGAGACGGTAGTGCCAGAAGACTTGAGATCTCCCGATGATATAGAAACGACTCCTCTTTGTCTGGCCACCATTACGCGAGTACAGAACAACTTGCTTTGGCTACTCCCCGATCTTCCACAGACTCGATTATCCTTTAGACAGCAGTCATGTGATGATCTGTCATATTCGACTCACGGTCAGCAACATAGCCCTTTGCTTGTTAGCATTCATTCTACTAAAATATTTCCGTTCGGCTGGTCGGAACTTGTCAACCATCCCCTCATCTTGCCATCCGGCTATGAAGAGATTGACTATCATACTCAAGCTCCGATTAATGCAGATTGCAAAAAGGTTTTTCTTCCTCAGGTTTCAGGAGGCCCAACTAATGTTACACCTCCCAGGGCTAACCGGCGGTCCGGTGATTCAGATACTTTAATTTCTGACGGTGACGACCGCAACAGATCCTTCAGTAGCACAGAGAATGACATCATCGCCAGTTATTTTCATCGAGGTCCAGTGCGTCGGCCTCATTCTCATTTCAGCAGGATGGAATATGGTCGCACCAGTCGATTCGAAGGGTCTGGTACAAAGGAAGACGAGGCCAAGGCAATCGAGTCGTCAACAGCCTCTTCGACTTCATCCGATTCAGCCAGATCTAGACAGAGGCGCTCAACGTCAAATATGCGTAAACTGCAGCATTATCAACAGCCGCCATTTTTACTAGAGAATGAACTCAAGTCGAATTACACTGAGGATGGATTGAAGCCTTTAGAGGAGTCCAAATATTTTCATTTATCAATGGGTCGTGGATATGACGACACAGAACCTCCAGTGGACTTGGAAATCTCACGGCTACGACAAGCCACTCCTGTAGTTGACCAAGAATCGATCACTGCCCACAGATATGCGGTCGCCTCCTGCCTGTCAGGCTATCTTGCTCTAAAAGAAGAAGAGGAACACTGTCCACCCATCTTCATCAATTCGCGCTGTCACCTAGGGCCTTTCCTCTGCAAGGTGAACTTTATTGTTTGTTCAACTGAGGTTAGGCTATTTTCGATGTGAGTAGGTTCCGAGATTCAATTCCCATCCTAAGTTATTATTTGAGGTTAGGCTACTTCATAAACTAAAACAACCTTGTTGCTTGTACCTAGTAACACTGAATTGTTAACTAAGCTTAATTTTTCCAGTGGTGGATTTTATGCATGTGATTAGCTGCTTACTCTTAGTGGTTATGTGGGAGCCGTGTTAAAAGCATAATGCTATTATTTTTCTCACAGACACATCTGGAAAATATGCAAAAATCAACTCATTAGGGCTTAAGAATCCAATATAATTCACTTGTGTTAGTTTATTGGGAGATCACTATGATTGACATACGGTCAACTTTATTGACTGATATACTGAGCAATAAATAAAGAATATGTGAATGAAGGGGATCTAAGTAATTTTCTTGATGCCACAAATGAGCTTCAGATGACCCATCTTCAATTTAAGCCGATTCAAGCATTTTTATGTGCGTATCTTTATGCATAACTTTTCAACAGCTTTCTTCTGCATGAAGAGTTTTATGTGGGTAATCTTGAATACCTACTCATTTTTTAACTATGATACCTCCAAACTAAACTTTTCTCTTCTTCATTAACTTAGTCATTCTTAAGCTGACTTCATTTGATTCTTCTTGCATTAGAATAGCGTTCTTTGGCTAATGTTATGCTTATAAAGCCTCTTATATCCCTCTCAGCCAACACTTCAGTCTTATTACGGCAAAGTAGTTTGCTTTTCATCGTCATCTGGTTTTATGTTTTCTTAATTCCCATATCTCTTTATAACAGTATTATTTTTAGACAAAATTCCAGGTTAGGCGGCCAAGCCCTCAGGTTTTCACTCACCAAGTATATTTTAAATATTATTTAAATATACATTTACTAGTGTTTATTATTACTACTAAGCTACTTTTGTCATTAAGATATTCATTAACCTTGCTTTCTAGTTCTAGGCCAACTACTAATGCACTACCTTAGTTCATCCCCTCTACTAATTTGATTTGAGAGAGCTTGCTCTTCCTCGATTAAGGATGCAGTGTTTCACTAGCATTTTTTACTCGTGACTGATTCTCATGTATTGCCATTTGTTGGGCTTTACTTGGTTTTCAACCACCTTTGTCAGTGCCGAAATGACGGTCCTTACTCGACGATATTATTATGAGAATAAATGAAATTCACTGGAATAGTTATTCTTTCTCAATTCACTTCTAGTGGTCCTTGGATAATATAAAGGGCCTCTGTTTACTCGTTTTTCACATGGACTTATTAAATCTACTTAAAAAATTAAATCAGAAAAGCACTCGAGCTCTTAAACGATGATTATCTACTATAATTCTATTAAAGTACTTATTAAAATTAATTTGCATATATATTTTAATGTTTGACATGCTTAAACAAGCGAGTTAGCTATTTTCACGTCTCCACCAACGCTTTGTTTCATCATTGAACTCAATCCAAGATAAGGGATTGCTTGTATTATGCGTTGTTCGGATTGGGCTTGCGAAAATAACTCCTATTAGTCTTGCGATCCTTAACTTATACTGTTATACAGCCAGTATAGATGAGCAAAATATTTTTACTTCGCAGGTTTATGGCAGATTTTGAAAAATAACGCTCATGTATTTATCTAATCTCACAATTCTTCACTCCGTATCGTTGTATTGATACTTTCTATCTTATCAGTAATTTTTTAAAGTCAATATTTATCTTCACACCTCTAGTACTCTTAAAATAACACTATCTCTGACATTCATTTTCTCTGTTACTTCTCCATTTAGTCTAATCAATCATTAGTTCCCGTAAAATCGATTCATTCTTATTTATATAGGACTAGATCTTAGAAATTTTGATAGAAACCTCTTAGTCGGAATCATATAAATGCCTTGAATGAATGGCTTAGAGTGCAGGGCTTGGTTCAGATAGGACATTATGGCATTTAATGCTATATTAGACCAACTCGAGCCACGTGGATATAAAGTGTGTGATTTATAATGATTAATCAATACATTTAAATTTTCTG